ATAAGCAGCACCGGAAACGGAAGTTGTCTTAAACATTGTTTGGTTGTTTTTTCATTTCAGCAGCATATTCGTGCACAAACGCATGCATAATGCCGCGCTAAAGCCAGCTCAGCTGCAGTCTCTGCCCGCATCTCTCCTGGCTGAATGCGCCTACACTAAGAAAAATAGTTGCGCCTTTCATTTACTTATTGCCTGCTAGAATTTGATGTAACACAACATGTTTTAAGGAATTCTGAGTTCAAAAGTACGATAAACTTTATGTGTAGCACACTTAAAGACTCATTTTCCAATGTTTTCAAGCCTCTAGTTTTGCTGCTGCTCACCTTAGTACACGAACTTGGCAACTTTTTGCCAATATCCCAGTGTAGACAAACAGGCGACACCCGGGGAGCCTGGTGGCCCAGCAGGGCATCCTGGACAGCATCTTGCGCAGTGCCCAATTGATTTTCACGGTGCCACGGGCCGCAGGGAACGAGGCGAAGGACGAGCACGAGGACGAAGGCGAGGACGAGGACAAGGACGAGCTCAGTCGGGCCTGTCTTGGTTGTCAACCGAGCTACTTTGGCCCATCCACGCTTGGCTTGGCACAAGTCAAAGCTAGTTGGAAGTCAATGCGCTTGAGTGCATTGTGGCCCGGCTTTATCTTCTCTTTTCGGGTGCGCACTGGTTTTGTTTCAGTCTCAGTATGTATATACTTGCTGCGATATTTTGTTCTTTTCTGCTCTGTGTTTTGTGTGCACTCTTGATTTCCTTAAGCTGCTGCAATTAAAGAGTGCATCCTTGCCGGCAGCCAGCTATTATTTCAGACGAGTGCGCCACTTACAAGCTAGCCGAAAACTTTTTAATATGCTTGCGAAATTTTGCCAAAATTGCAAGTTAAATAAGTAAGTACAAGGCAAGCGGCGATGACAATGCGTAGACGAGCAAAGCAAACACAACGGCGAACTGACAAAGGACTCGTCGAGAATCAGGACTTGCGACTGGCAAGAAGAAACCATCAACTTAATTTCCCGCCCAAGTCAATCCAACTTTTGTGCAATTTGCGTGACAAAATGGGTAAAAGAAAAGCGAAACTGGCTAAGGGAACTCGGTGGAAGCCACAAAGTTTGATTGCAATTGAGACAAATAGCTGAGCTGTGCGAGCTGCGCCGCACAAAAAAAAAAATAGAAAAAAGAAAAAAATCACCACACTACGCCTGCCGCATAATAAATGTTCTGGCACCTTTGGGAAAAACTTTTGAGCCTTTGCTGGCATGTGATGCATTTTATGGATTTCCGATGCGCACACACACACACATGGCCCTACTCAGAAAAGGGTATTTCATGCAGCTCTGCATTTAATTGAATTGCCAGCAATAAGCAAAGGCAGCAAGCCACAGGACTTTTTGTACCCGGCACTTTTGCCAACTTCCCCCCGTCGCCGAAGGACAGCTGAAAACTTTGCGAGAAAAGCCCCAAGCCGAATTCAAATATTATACGCTTCCAGCTATTTCCCTTTCCTTTCATTTTCTTTCCCCTCCCCTCCCCACCCTTCCCTTCCATTTTCCTTTCGCCTACATATCAGGTGTCAAAGGGAGACACGAAATTGTCAATAAATGTGCATCCGTGCACCCACTTGCCATTATTGCATCCGAGCACAAAGCCACCGCCGAAACCACGATTAAAAAGAATTCCAAACCTTAATCAAATACGCATGCCCATTAAACTTTTTCAATTTAAAGCCTTTGGGTGTCAAGTTCTGTGGTCTCGTGCGTCAACTCATTAAAGTTGCATGGCAACAAAGTTGCCAAGTCACCTCCGCAACAACTCCCCAAAGGACTACAGCTCCACCACTCAAAGCCCCGGCTCAAATGGCATGTCATAAATTTCAGCCCCCAAAATGTATCTCAGCGCATGCGAGCAGCAACAGTGCCCCGTATACAATATGCAAATGAAATTATCAAGCCCATCCTGAAGCCAAGAGCGACGCATTAGAAACTCTTGGACCTTCTCGGTCGATGTGGTCGGAATAGAGTGCATACTCCGTAGCCTGGCCCAACTTCTGACCAAAAAATATGGACCAGCACTTCGGCCAACACCGCATGCAAATATCGGCCTAAAACTGAGCCAGCTGCTGGAGGAGAATTAAAAACTGAGATGTTGGCCGAGTCAAATGGGAGTGGGTAATGCCATTGAAATCACTTCTGCTCGGAAATTGAGAGGATTGCCTTCAACTCGTAATGAAAATTGCTAGTTTGCCAGCTCACCGCATTTGCTGAAAAGGAGCTCCCTAAATCAGGAAAGGAAACACGTTGAGTATGTGAATAGTGTGGATTTTTCTACAAAATCGTTTTAATGAATGCTCGCACGCAAGGGATGTACCAATCTTTCACATGGCTATATCAACTTTGCAGAAGCAATTGTTGGGCATGCAGTCTAACTTGCTACTAGTACTAGACCAATTTAACCAACATCATAATTAATAATTAGTAAAACCAACACGACCAGAACTCCGGTTGCTAGCCATGGATCAGCAGGTGATGTCGCCCTAATCGCATTTAATTAGAAAACGCAAATTATGCCACCGAAAACTGGCACTAGAGCCCGCCAAGTTGGCATTTGGCATGCGGCCGGGTCTTGGCCGCAAACTCAGCAGCCAGCAACCAGTATCCAGCATCCAGCATCCAGCATCCAGCATCCAGTATTCCGCATCCAACATTCAACATCCAGAACCAGGCTGACACGTTGCCGCACTTGCTGGGCTTTTAATGAAATCGCTTGGCATATGCTGCGACGAGTGGCTACGGTGGTTGGGCGGTTTTGGGTGGTTCGGGGCGAGCGGTTGGCTGTCAGAGGTCGGTGTCAGTCCCCCACACACACCCACACACACACCTGAAGTTTTATTTCAGGGGGTCAGGTGGGTCACCCCCGCAGTCAAAGCTGACACGCACACGCACATATTTAGGCCGGGTCGAGTGGGTGGATGGCGTGAGCGGGAAACGGAAGTTGGGGGGCTGGGCAGCGGGTAGATGGCCCTCATTGCGCCCGACTGTGATAAGAAAGTGTCAACACAAACGTGACAAAGCTACAAATGTTTAATTTTTATGGCTGTGGCCGGGCATTTGCCTTGGTTTGCGGGCGGCTCACGTTGCGCGTGCCACGGCGCTTAACTCAACTTATTTACAGTTGGCAAAGGGTTCGAGAGATCCTGGCCACATTTGGTCAAGCGCTCCGTTTTTGTGCCGAAAATCACGTTTTTACCGTAAACATGTTGCAAAGTTCGCGGCTGTTTTATCTTCTGGCATAGTTTTCCCGCTTTTCCCCAGCCAGCCAGTGGGCCAATGGGTTGAGAACGTGTCACATGGCATAGAGAATAAAATGGTGCTGCTGGTGGCTGGCGTGAAATATTTAAATTTAGTTAAGGCTTAGGCACTCGGCATTTGTTTGCTTGGCCAGCTGAATGAAAAACTTGCTCAAGCCAAATTTATTTAGTATATATTTAAGGCAAATAGCAAATCGCCAGAGAAAACATTTTTTTTTTGTTTTTCTGTTTTTGGCAGGACTCTGTCTGCTTGCTGAAGAACACAAACTTAATTTCTATGCAAGTTTCTCGGCTTTGTTTGGCTGGCTACAATTTTAATGCACGCCAAGCCCACATAAGAGTGTACTCGAAAGTACCCACACACACACACACACACACACACACATCGTAACAAATTCGGAGGCATAATGAATGTGCAGCAACATTTTTGATGGCGCCCGCTGACAACAATAAATTACTTTTGGCTTTAAACGAAAACCATTAGCATAAAACTTGGCAACAGCAACAACAGCAGCAGCAACCAGCCAACAACATCCTTTTAACGCGGATACTAGGCATATAGGCATACTGGCATACTGGCATACTAGGCGTATGCGCAATATTTGTCTGGCTCTAATTTTAGCCAACAATTTGCCAGCACTTACATGATTAAATTGCAGCCTCAAACGCTGATGATGATGATGATGATGGGGTGGCGGCGACTGGATACCAGTAATGGTGTTGTGATGGCTATGGAAAAATGAGGAGGGCAAACTTTTCAAATATGCGAGTCTTTTAATTAACTTGCCGGCACTTGTGAAGCTCTGTGTTTTAATATATTGTACGAATATTCCCATTTTTTTCAACCCTTTTTCCATTTTCTTTCTGGCGAAGCACGCTTTTATTAAGCGTTTCATAATTTCATGCAGTAAACTTGCTAATTGCGCCGCCTTGCTTCCTTTTTCCTCGGCACTCGACTTCACTTCACTTCACTTCCACTCCACACAACTCAACTGAGCTCAGTTCAACTCTCAACTCGTTTCGGTATGCCGCCCTTTTGGCCAAGACTCTGCCGGCCAAGAAGGCTGCCAAAAAAAAAGAAAAGTGTGTATAAAATAATAGGAAAACATGGCAAAGGACAGCCGGAGTGGAAGCCTGTGCGAATTAGTTGCACCAAAGTGTTTTCCGTTTTTAATATTTCCACCGCCTTGGAAAAAGTTGCAGAAGGAGCAGAAAGCGAGCATCCCGGCCACTTAGGACACTCTTGGCCACGGCTCGTCGCTTTTCAGCCGCCTTGGCCACTGGCTCACTGGCTCACTGGCTCACAGGCTCAATTTCCGCTTTTAATTAAATGAACATTAGGCCAAAGGGCTGAGCCCACAAAAAAGCCACCAACCACCTGATGGCATTTGCCACTAGCTGCATTTTACATTGCAGTCGTTGGCCAAATTGCGCGTAAATTGCATGCAGTTAGTTTTAAATTTTAAAATTAATTTTTAGCCGGCATTTGCTGGCCCGAACTGGCCTTGGGTGCCAGTGTTTGTTTGTGCTTTAATAGCTGTTAATATTTATGAACTGAAAGTTCAAACAACAAACAGCCGAATACAGCCAACTGTTGTCGATATTTAACGATGCATTCAGTGGGCGAATTTGTGTGCTGCGAGAACTGGCTTTATATTGGATGCCAGCCAAACGGGCCTAAACAAACAGCAGGCGTGAATTGGCTCGTAATTATTCAATAACAGTTTATTTAAAACACACCATTAGGGCTTCATGGGTGGCGATGCTACAATTTATAAGCTAATCTAAATTTTCATAGCAATAACGTTTTCAAAATTAATTAACAGAGTGCTATAATACACTGCGTACTTAACGTTAATTTTTTCGATAATTTAAAGTGTTTTTTTGTGCATCTTACAAACTATGTTAGTTATGAAAGGGTTGTCACACGGTTTCAACTGGGCGATATTTTTCTTCTCTGGCATAGTAACACAGGCACAACAAGATAAAGCAATCCAAGCCGACTAACAACTTTAGTAAGTTCAACTGCAGCAGCTGCATGCGCAGCACTTCCAAATCTGAAGGCCATATGAATATCCATCAGCTATATATAATATATTAGATATGTGATTCAGTAGTTCGCACTTACCTTCTTCCCGATGCTGTGCCTGCAACAATTTGAGCTCCAGTTCGGGCAGCAATTGCTCGAATTCCCTGTCAATGCTCATTCTAAAAGTCACCAGGCCATCGGATGCAGTCAGAGGCATATTTCCAGTTGGAGCTGGCAGGACGAAATGCGACAATTGAATGGTTAGGAACAGGATGCAAAAGGAGCTACTGAGCCGAGACATTGTCGATCAGTGTCTGTCAAGGGAAGAGCTCCTAATGGATGTGCCCGTGTCGAGGTCCCCAACATTTGCGTAAATATCGAAATAATGAACACATGCTGCGTTGAGTGTTGTGGCTGCTACTTATATTTGCATTGTCGGTCTTTAAATACACCAGCCACAAAGCAGCTGGCAAGCAAACAATGCCGAGCAATATCCGATGCGAAGGTTGGGCGACAGAGTTTCTCCTCATGGCGGTGTAGTACTCGTGGATGAAGCTGTGGTGGTAGTTTCCACCGTCGCTTCGGTTCTGGATTCCGTTGTGGATTCCGTCGATATTCTAGTCGTTGTGGTTTCCTGGGATGGCGGAGTAGACTCGGTTGTGGCGGACGCTGTGTTTCCAGTTGCTGGGGAGTCGCCTCCATCATCACCGGAAGTAAAACTGCCCAAAAGGCCCAAGACTCCCTGTGCGAGAAAAAGAAGTGCGATTATAAACAACAGTTTAAAGTAGTTAACAGTTTCAGAATTAGAAAGCAAGAAGCCTACACAACACTTGGTGCAATATTTGGATTTCGAGAACTTTTCAGCCCAAGTTATACTTTAAAATCTCGTACCAAAACGCTTAAAAGGTGCTACTCTTTGACGTATCAATTCTAATGGCTTGGTTTTTTCATACTTTGAAAATTACCTTTGAAAACGCATCCCATACACCGTGAACAACCTCAGCAGCCAATTCAACCGGTGTCAGAATGCCCGTTGGTGGCGATGCATGCTGTAGGGTTTTGTTGTGGCTGCTGGTATCCGAGTCTTCGAGTCCAAAGATACCGTCAAGTAGGCCGTTCTCAGATGAATCGGCAATCTTGTCGAGGAAAATGCCATGGACACTGGCCAGGCAGCCGAGGAGGCACAACCAGATTAGCAGCTTCATGACGGCCTGTGATTGAAATGGTTTTCTCTATCCTACACCAACAAGCGGATGTGATGAAATGTCTAACCAGAAGCGAAAACATTTCGTTTTTGACGGCTGCTCTCGAGCTGAGAATTCTCAGTGACCCTGAATCTAATTAAATAAACGGCTGTACAAATATCTGAAAAGACCTGACATCATTTGCCGCAGGTGTGACTTACTCATGAATGAACCGTGTCGTGAAATAAGTAGACATAGAAAAGTATTTAAATTATGGCATGAACGTGACAAACATTCATGCGGAAATACTTAATACAATAAAACATGTATCTATATTAATACTACAGATAAAAGCAGCGGTACTTTGAACTGCAACGGAGTTTATTACTTACAACGAAAGATTTTATAGATTGTATATCTTGAGCTGTTCTCAGCTAATAATGACTAACTTGTTGTTGAATAATGAGAGGATAAGATGTTAAAGCTGGTGGGGCAGTTTGAAAGATATACTTACTTTAAGATAGATATTCTTGTGGTATACAATTAAACCAATGAATATCTCAGCTGATATTTCAGCACCGCTGAATATGATTTAACAGCAAATGTGCCATAAAGGCCATTCATTTCATTCCGCCGTGATACTCTTCAGCAAAGTCGGACATCTAATTGGCCCTAATATCGCTGTCATCCGCACTTACACCCCAGTTGCACTCAGCCAGCATTATGGCTTTGATCTGACTTAGACATATGCCCAGGATAACGGCGTTGGCGTTGGCGCTGGCAGATGCATTTGCCCTCCACTTCGTGGGGTGCGACACTCGAGCGCATCGAGTGGAAGGCGGTAGAAAAGCATTTCAAATGCATTCACGAGCAGGAGCGTTTTAAATTACTCCCAGCATTCCCCACTTGGGGCAGATCTGAGGGCTGATGACTCAGTCATTTGGTGGAGGACATGGCATGGGAGGGGGCTCCCGTGTTCAACATCCAAGAAGACGATGTGTGCGAGTGAGCTTCAATTAATATGCAGCAATTGCATGTACACGACTGGGCTATCTGCTGCCACCCAATTGTTTATTTATGTGCACTTCCTATGCCATCTAATTAACTGAGTGCAGCATGTGGATTACCTGTCATTTCCACCCGTTGTTTATCGCCTGTTTCAATTGATCAAATTTGCTCGAGGAAATCAAGCGTCCGCACAAAAGCAGCTCCCAAGTAGCAGGCACCTAATAAAAACGAGGATATCCCAGCAGAAACTAGCAGTCTCATCTCTTGGCCCCGCTGCCTGATCTATGGCACTGCAAGTGTCACATAAATTACAAGCGGAAGCATCAAAATGCTGTCAAATGAAGGAAGGGTAGCAGCGTTGAATCGAGTCGCGTCGAAAAGGATTTTCATTGCCGCATTCTGGAAGCGAGTTTCACTTGCAGTACACGGGAAAAAAATCTTCCGTGTGACCAGGGCTCACTATGAACTTTATTTCGATGCAGTGTGACCATACCACATTTTGAGGTTGCTCTTTTAGGTGATAGGCTTTGGCTAAATGCATAGCCACTTTGGTGGACAGAACTTTTCTCCATGTGCACCTGCTTGGCTCGATTTTGCTTGGCTTGTTCGGGAGCTTGGCGTTTAGTTTTTCGCATTGGCACTTTGTCTTCATCACAGGCGACGAGCGGTGGCCGCAACAAGCTCATCATAGCCATCGACGGCCGCATCATCGTCTCTTCATCTTCATTCCCAACGCCGTCGTCGGCGTGCTCCTACATAGCTATAAACATCAATTTAGCAACGAAAATTGGTTTTCAGATAGCTTCCATACACACACACACACAACCACACACACACATGTGCACGCACACTTCTTCAGCTGGAGAAAAATTGTTTTTCGCTTTAAGTGACAAGCAGTGAGAGCGAACTGACGACAACTTTGTCGATGTCTTAGTTCGCGTCTTGGTGTAGTGTTCCTGGTTATTTATTTGTTGTTTTTTGGGGCCAGAGAATTTCGTCATGTCGAACCATCCATGTGGAAAGTAATAAACTAATAAAACAGAGACAAACACACTGAAAATAAAAACATTGCATCAGTGAAATACGTATCTGTGCTTAAAAAGCTGTTATTTCGTGGCTTTGTTTCGCATTTCAACAAATACAAAGTTGTATGTTTATAGTATATTGATGACCAGTGAATATTGCAGAACTTCGGGCGTTGACATTGAGACGAATTGAGCACACCCATGATGAGCCATAAATTTAACATTGCATAACCGCAGGCGCATGAATAAGACATTCAAAATGTGGCAAATGGAATGTGCAGAGCTGAACCGAAAGCCAGCATGTATTGATGATGATTAGATTGATTGAAAATTCAATAGACTAAGCCGAGATGGCCAGACAATTATCCAATCCTCAGCCACTCCATGGTAAAATGCCAGCAGAACCTGTCATAAACCACAAACACAGACAAACTCGAAATCAGCACATCACTGGCGTCAAAAGCGAAAATTATTTAAATTTATGGCTGGCTGGAAAAAGGAAAACGTAGTAAAAAGCGAAGACGGTCGAAATGTGTGCCAAATGAAATTCGTTGAAATTTCATGCAACCTCAACAAATTGTCATTAAAAGCGGCAACACATACACACACACACATACAAACAGCACTTGGCCATAAACAGAGCCGCCATTTGACCGTCCATATTTATGATGTGAACGACAAGACAAAATGGACTTCCGGCCGCCAAAAAGGAGCGAGAAAGAGAGAGAGTGAGAGAGAGGGAATGAGTTTGGGGCCATGGGGTTTTGGCTCTTTGCATTTTAATAGACTGACCCAAACGCTTTCGGAACCACATGCAGAACGCGAAAATACAAGCGCCTGCACATGTATGCACACATATATATATACTTGTATATGTTAGACAGGGACATGTGTGTGTGTGTGTGAGCCATTTGCAATGCAAATTGGCAAAAGTTTAAAAAATTTATGCGGCTTTAATGGCACCTGGCGACTGCAGAACGGACCACGTATCCAAAAACCAGACCACAACACACCACCCAGCACCACAGCAACTAAGACTATTCGAGGAAATTATATACTAAATAGCAGAATAATTTTTTGGCATTTGTGCTGCTCATTTTTTTGCCCTCCTCCCCACGTTTTTGTCGACTGCATTAAATGCAAATTTATGCCTATTTGCTGCAAGAAAGTGTAACGGAACCTTGCTGTTGCTAGCTGCTTGTTAAACTCGCATAAATTTCGCTGGCGGCTTCCCATTTTGCCTGACACTAAAAGGATGTAGCACCACGGATGGGAGGGGACTCACCTTTTTTCGGTCTGGGGTGAGGTACCAGTTGTGTGACGAAAATGTACATCTTTTCTATGGAAAAGGTTTAACTATTTCATTATATTTATTTCGGCTGCCTGCTTAGGGCTGCCACAGAATGTTGCAGCTCGTTAATTTAACAAGAACCTTTCATCTATACGAATAAGTTCTCATTATATCAATTATCAGCAAAGGGGAACTTTGAAATTTATGGTAATCACTACATAAGACCAACAGCTAATGGCTGCTCAGAAGGTATCTTAGGTACGAATCGAGGTATCACTAAATAGACCCAATTATTGGGCGATTCATCAGAGCCATGGGCGTGCCTTCGAAAGGGGCAGAATAGAGGGATGGGCATTGGCTGAACTATGGCAAACTATCGCCACTTGCATTGTGCATTCGAGCAATGCTCGCAACTTATTGTTGTTATCGCTTTTTGCACTTCTTTTGACTTCTTTTGGCTGCCACTTGGCAGGCGAAACTCTGTGCAACTTGGCTAAGTAAAATTTATGTGCATTTCTTGTGCGCCTCTGTCCCTTCAGTGTGAAATGTGCCAAGAAATGTTTGGTTTTGTCCGGTTTGGTTTTTTGCTCTCATAGGCGCAGCATGGCGCGCAGTGGAATTGGAAAAACGTTAGCTTCAAATAATTAGCCATTAACAATTGGCCTCGCCAATCGGCCCAACAGCGACTTTTGACCGTCTGTTGCCAGTTTCCTGTGCTGGCCAAAAGTTTTGCGCTTTATTGTGCCTGGTTACATCATCTTGAGTTGCACTGGCAAATTGCTGGCCGGCTGCAACTTTTTTGCCCGAATGGCGCTCAATAAAACGATTTATGCTGCCTTCGCCTTGCGAGCCCTGAAAACTTTGTGAACTTTTGCCAACATTTGTTTTGTCTATTGCCTTGTATCTTGTGGCATTTCTGGCAGCCCCAAGCTCTCGGCCACTCAACTGACTTGGCCTAAAGTCTCCAACTTATTAGTGCAGTTTATCCAACGACTCAAGAAGCTGCGTGCGGTTTGTCTTGGGCTGCCCATAAATCTCGGCGCGGCAAGTTTTCGGCCACGACCAGCAAATAAACACCCGTGGTCATAAATCAGGGCGCTGCAACATGGCCAGCATGGCGAACATGACGTGCAACATGCACTGCACCAAAAAAACTGCATTCTGATGGGCCAAGAAAGAAGGAGCAGATCGAAGTTCCCTGGGCGTGGCTAATGCAAATCATGCAGCCGCGACAACAGCTGCGCATTTTGGCCAAATTGGCCTGGCCGTAACCGCTTGGCTAACTTGGCATTCATGGCGCTGTGATTCTGAACGCCTCTGCATAATTTATCATTCATTTGGGCTCATTACCCGTTGCAGTTTTGAATAATAAAGCGGTGGCCGGGGAATAAAAAATAGATGTGCACTGCTAATTGAAGCAAGTTGCACGTAACTTAAAGCCCCGCCATGTCAACACCATTTGGGGCTTTGCGAAAATTCAACAACCACCTGGATTATATTTTGCGGACTTGCCTCCCGCTGATGCTGCATGTTCAACAATCGTTGTTCGATTTGTGGCCCCGCTACATTTTGGCCACTGCCAGACTGCAACTCATGTCATGTGTGACAAAAATCGAGCATTGAAGCCATTGACAGACGCAATTTTGGCCAGCAATTGTAATTGGTTTAGGTCCTGGTTGGCAGTTGTAGTTGCAACCAGTTCGAACCATGAACCATTCGTTAATTAACATGTTCGTGGCTTTGCTGGATGTAACCGGCCATGTCCTGCAGCTATCTCATGTCACTTGGGGTGGACCTTT